TAATAATTAATAAAATTAATATAATAATAATAATAATAATTTGTGTTAGTCCAAAATACAGATTCTGTGATAAATATCCAGAAACGATTGATCATCTTGTATCAGGGTACACGGTATTGGCACCTACTGAATATAAAACGCGGCATGATAGAGTGGGCCAATATCTGCAATGGAAAATCTGCAACTTCTACGGAAAAGAAACTGAAAGATATTGGTACGAACATCACGCAGATCCGGTTAAGGAGATAGGACCTGTTACAATTTTATTGTTACTACACAATACAGACAGACAGAAGAATCAAAGCCAACCGCCCGGACATTGTTATTAGAGACCGCAAACAAAATGTGCCTCTTTATTGATATGGCAGTCCCTGCAGACTGCAATGTATCTTTGAAGATCTTTAAAAAGCAATCAAAATACAAGGACTTTGAAATCAAAATCTCAAAAATGTGGCAGATGGGAACATCAACAATCCCTGTTGTAATTGGAGCCATAGGATTGGTTGGAAAAGATTCCAATCAACTCACTGAAGGGATTCTTAGTAGCCTACATTTTAAAGAAATACAAAAATTGTTCTCACGAGTACAGCCCACACCTTACGAAAGGCTTTGTCTATCTAAACTATATTTTTTTTTTAATTTTTACTTTATTTTTAATTGCTCAGTGGAAAATGTCATGATGCCATTGCTGACCTTAGTTCTCTAGGCGGGACCCAGAAAGAAATGAGTACAAACCAGAAATCAAACAAATGCATAATACTACCGACCAACTTTGTCATGTCCACTATCCAGAACAACCTATCCCATCTAAATAATCTTAAAATAGTCACAAACACTTCCAAAACCATTATGGATTTACTCAGATCCTCAAACGCTAATAGCAATAATATTTCTGAAGCAGGCATTTATAAAATAAATTGCCAAAACTGTTCCTCCCAATATATTGGAGAAATAAGTAGATATTTAAAAGAAGGAAAATTCTCGAGAGTGCCGTCATTGAATATTATCCAAATATTAATCTACTCCCAGGCTTTTTCCCTATTTCACTTTTCCGAACAGAATTACTACTCTCCGAAGCAAACGTACGCAAATGTATCAAGAAAATGGTTGAATCCGTCAACACAACAACAAAAACAATATTTCCACACGTGACAGTACTTGACGTAATTTTCAGTTGAGAATATGAATATAATAGCGTTTTCTAAATTCTTCCAGTTGCTAAGGACATTTTGTTTTGTTATTATTAGTTACTTTGTTTTAATAAATTCATTTCGTTTTTGCCTTGAAAAAGTCCACATTGAATGAAACGCTTCGGTTAATATTAGTTTTCCTATTGTCTTTTACATTTAAATATATATATATATATATATATACGAACGATCATTTACGTTATTTATATAGACACAAACGTGTAAGTAAATGCTCTGTTTATAATAAACAGTATTAACATTTACCGGCCTGAACATCAGAGACATTTCATAGAAAATATATATTTATTTGACAGAAATATTCAGAAAGCTATTTAACCAATCATGAAAATTTGCCTTGGCACTTGCTAAATATTAAGGAAAATTTTATTTTCAGGAAACAAAGTCAAATACCTGTCACTCACGCAAATACTGTGGTGATTTTCTACGCGTAGCGTAGATGTGGCAAAAGGCCGAGAGAACGAGTCACCCGTGAGGATCAAACTCACTATTCGGTTGTAACTGTCCTAGTGAGACAAGCTTGCTATCATACCACGTAGATGTGCCCAAACGATTTTCTAAGGGTAGTTTAGATGTGGCACAAGGCCGATAGTATGGGGGAACACAGTCATTATCGGACTCACTACTCACTCCTAATCGTTCTAGCGAGACAAGCTTGTTAACCATTACACCAATCAAGGTGCTCCTCACGCAAATATTATAACTGAAACGAGAAACTCCCCGCAGTATTCGGAAAGCTCCCCGACTAATCATGAAGACTTGATATGCCAATTGCTAAATATTAAGGAAAAATATTTTTTTATTATTATTAATGGAAGCTTAATAATCCATTATCTTTCTTTCTTTTTATCTTATCAATAATTCTGTGTTTATCTTTCAGATATTTTTGTTCTGGGAAATGCAAAATCGGAAGGTATTCCTGTTGTTTACTGCTCAGAAGGATTTTATGAACTGACGGGTTTTCGACGAAGTCAGGTTCGTGGAAAGCGAAGTACGTGCAGCTTTCTTTATGGATCGTTAACAAAAGATGAACCGAAGCAAAGACTCAAAGATGCGCTCCAATCTCAGCAGGAATGCAGAGTCCAACTTTGCCTCTACACCAAAAGCGGTAAGTTTATACCGACTTGTCAGTCGAAAGCTATTTCCAAACTTGGATGGCGCGACATTCTCGTGTAACGATTTGCTTGTTCTTTCTTTGATTATTATCTGAATAATGTTTCATTGATTTTTTTTTCTTTTTATAGCGGGAGCACCAAACCAGGTGTAGTAGGAATGGTCAAAGCCAGGAAAAC